AACAGAATTCAAGTCGGAAATCAGATAAAATAATTATATGATTAGGGAACACACCAGAGTTTACAAATATTATTCAGAGGTACTGGATAATCTTAGCAAGTAGAGAAACACGGATTTTCAGTATACCGATAGAATGTCAGAATTTAGAATCACAATTGTAAAAAGTTCAATAACTGACGGAATCATCAGTTATTCAGAATGTGAATTATCAGGATCATATCTTATTCGGACAATTTTCAGAAGTTGTACGTAATCAGAAGGGTATTCAGAATCCTTTACATCCATGTCAATTGATCGGATAATCGAACAACTTGAGAACGAAGATTCAGAACCTTAACAATTTATGTCCACTGGTCAATTCATTTTCCTTCCAGGGTATTTACTTTTTAATACCACAAATTCTTGTTCATAGATCATCTTCAGAATCATCGCTGAATAGATCTTCCAATGATCTTTATTTCATTTCCAAACTTCCACGATATCATGAAATACTGACGTGCTTGATTTTTAGTTCATGTTCCATAAGGACAGTACATCTTATAAACTCATCAGAATTTCCAGACTTATCCAATTCACTTACTTAATCCTCAATCATTGAGGTTACTTAGCTTATTTAGCAGTCAAGTCCATTCCAGTTACTTCGGGGTTTTTCAGAGTAATACAAACGTTTCTGTATTTTAGATATATATTGTACTTCAGATCCATTCAATTTGGTCTTCTTGGTTGATTTCTTTAACGAATATTTATTTCTTAGTACCGGATGTGATCCAGAGTTGAGCTGAGTACTTTCAAAATAATCATCGAACCACACTTGAGAAGACGAACACACATTCAAGAAACATCTATGTCGTTCAGGTATTGGCATATCTTTAAGATTAATCAACTTACTTAAGTTGTGATCCATAACTTCTAAAGGTAGTCCAACACCTATGCTTATTTGGATTCCTTAATTAATACAAGGCATTTACTTAGAATATGACACAAGGGTATTTTGGTAATTTTGGGTGTTCATTTTATCCATTTATTTCAGAGCTCGAAGATATCCAATCATTCTTGAGCTTAGTGGTATTCTTGGGTCATTTCCATTACAGGGGAATTTTGGTCATTTTACAGATTCATCGTATTTCAATCATTTCCTTCCATCTGATCTTACTATTAAATTCAATCTTATCATTTATTTCAGCCATTTCAAACAATTATGACAATTGAACACTCCGACAAATTATTCTTCAGGTATTTACTCATAACTCTGATATTTCTGGGTCAAGTGTCTTCTCAGATTTTACAAACGGAATATCATGAATTTTCCTGAACTAAGTCAAGATTTTAACAATCAAATCCGTACTTAATGGAGTTAAGTACGAATCCTCAAAGTATTTTCTTATTCAGGGTCAACTCAGACTATTCTACCTCTTAAGGGTATTTTCGTAATTTCTTAACCAAATAATTTCAATATTAGCTCTTAACGAAAATAATATAATTTAGAGATCCTATGATTAATTACTTTCTTGAACACTCTATGATCTTGAAACGGTTCTCTTAACAAATTTCTAGTATCATTCACAAACTCTCTTAGGATTAAAATCGGTTATCCATAATTTCCAAATAAAACTAACATTTCTTATGCACATCAATATTTTTATCAGATCAATATGTATGTAAAATCCTCTTATCTAACTTCCATATTCAAATATTGTCTTTTTATAACATAAGGGTTTTCATAATTTTACCCTACCGAAGTATTCTCATAATTCTCATCTAAGTACCTTTAACATTTAACCTTGATGAAATAAATTATAAGTTGCAGATACAGGGCTGATTTCTTTATCACTAATCACAAACTTATAATTTAATCTAACAATTCCTCAATCTCTTATATTAGTCATTCGATCTGTAATTAGTTACAGAATTTCTACCACATCATATCGAGTGTATAAATTATTCAACTCCACCAAAGTGACCAACATTATCTTGTTCATGCATTTATCAATATAAACATGTTCCATAAAGCATAAAGAGGTAGTAAAGTATTACCTCGATTTCTTTCCAATACTGATCGACCATAAAAATTCCATTCAAACGCCTTTGATCTTCAATTCAACTTCCAATAATTCCTCAGATACATATCAACATAAATTATATCAACATAAATTATATCAACATAAATTATATCAGAAACGGAGCTTAATTGCGATAAACGGATCGAATCGGGCGATAAATCAGTGAACAATAGCTTACCGGGTTCGAATTTGGCAAAACGGACTTCGGATTTGGATTCAGGACGTCAAAAGCATAAAATATGACTTTTCAGAAATTTGGAATTTTTGGTCAAAATCAAAGTCAACGGGTTTGATCGGCAATTTCGAGGCCTTCGAGTCTGAATTTCAAAAAATAGACTGCGGAATCGGATTTGGAACGTCAAAAAATGCCAGGATAGGTGTACTTGGTCAAAGTCAAAGATCGTTTAATGCCCGGTCAAAGTTTTGGTCAACGATCAACGGGTCGGGTCATGACCGGTCAAACCAAAAGCAAAACGGTCAAACCGATCATTTTTCTTCCCCACGCGCAGTGGCGGCACGTGGGGGCGTGTGAACAGTTCTAAATTCTCGAAAAAATTCCTAAAAATTATTATAAACGATTTCGAGATACTTACAAAGCTCGGTTCAAATTTTTGAATGGCGGAGAGCTCGATTTCAATGAATCGAAAACTTTGACCGCTTCACCTCCTCACGCGATGCCGCCGTCGGAGACCAAGGATGACACCGGCAGACTCGGAACGATGCAAGGAACACGATGGTGCGGGAGGTGTCGTAAACGGATGCTCGGATCGTCGTGAATCGATGAAAAACCAACTGAAACCGGGTTATTACCGACGATACTTCCGACTGAAATTAACGACGAACGGCGACGATTCACGACGAAAGGTTTGAGGGGTTTTGTTCCTCGGTTGACAACGAAAACGATGGTGGTTTCGGCTCGTCGATCGGAGGTCAGACGGCGAGTAGATCGGAGTTGAAAGTTGGTTGATCGGAGAGGGAAACTGGGAAAAATTATGCTGAGCTGCGGACGGGAGAGAGTTATATAATTCAACATATATAAAAAATGGTTAAATCATGGGTTTAGCCACTGAATTTCTTGCACTTTATAAAACAGTTTGCCAACTTTAAAACTTTACAATTTAATTCCCAATTTCTTCCAAAAATATCAATTAAATTCACCACTTTATAATTTTTTAAATTTAGCCCTTAAATTGGGGTGTTACAACAACAATAATAATAATAATATACAAAGAATTTAATTTATTAAAATATTGATAAATTTAAGTAGTTAAAATTATTTTATATTTTTAATATTTAGTATATTAATTATTTTATAATTTTATGAAGTGAAAATATTATTATTATAAAATTGTAATTATTTAAAACAATATTTCATTTAAGTTATTAAAAAAATAGATCTTATACATTAAAAATAATATATTTGTCCACTCGAGATCACAATATTATTTTTTTATATTTATATTTTATATAAATAAATATGATACTTATGAAAATTATTTAAAATTATAAGTTTGATATACTAATTATATTAATTATACTTTACATATATTTTTTAAACTTATATAGCATAATAATTAAAATATTTTTATAAGTTTTCATTCAAATATTTATAATTTAGCATTAAAGTTTTACTTGGATAATTTTGTAAAACATGCATCCAACTAATCTTATATTCCTCCAACCAAACATTATAATCTTACATTCATGCTAAGCAAATTAAACAGGGTAATACAACATTCTCAGAGTAATGTTACATTCTAATAATCTTATTTCCAAAGGTAATCTCATATTGCGTGAACCAAACGCACCCTAAGAGAATGAGTAAATAAAGATGAGCAGCTTGTCTAACCCGTCAATTTACATACTCGAATATTTAGCTTTTTTAATTATCAAAACCGTTTTTAGGTTCAAAAATAATTTTCTTAAAAAATACATTTGTAATAGGTATGGTCGATATCAATCATTTTAGAGTATAAATGACCCAACACCTATAAAATCATCCTTTACATTTTTTTTTATGAAATCTATTTAAAATAACAATTTATGAGTTCTACATTTAAAACAAAGTAAAAGTTAGATTAAGAAGTCTGTTATATATAGAAAATATTAAAATATCCATACAACGCTCAATTTAGGCAGTTGACATATGCCCGATTCCATTTTGCAAGCAATAAATAGGGTAGAGTGGGGAAAATGAAGCTAGGAATGTGAACCGAATTGACTTTTGCAAGTTGAAAAGGACAATTTAAGAAGAAGGGTAGTTGAGAATATTACTGCTATTCTATCAAACCATAATGTTATGGCAATACTCTCTTTCTCCAATGATTTGACCCAAACCATGTATTCCAAAACGATTTATTATGCAATGAATCAGATCTTCGTTGGAATTACAATAATTTACTTGGGATAACATGTTTGTAAAACTAATAAGTTTTACAACACTTTATAGCCATTATATTTAAATAAATAAATAATTTAGACTTTATTAAAATTTATAATCCAAAAATAAATATTTATTTTAACTCACAATAAAATAATATTTTCCCTTTTTAGGGTTAGAATTTAGGATTTAAGCTTTGGAGTTTAAGATTTACGATTTGAGGTTTGAGATTAGGATTTAAGATAAAAATAAATATTATTTTATCGTGAGTTAAAAGATATTTATTTATGGGTTATAAATTCATTTAAATCTAAATCATTTATTTATTTAAATATAATGGCTGTAAATTAGTGTAAAATTTATTAGTTTTACATAATATAACTGAATCTTAACAAAGCATCGCCTTGTAGTCGGAGGTCATTTCTATACTTCTATTTTTTTTATAATTTTAAAAAATACGTGTTAAATTAAATTTAAATCGAATAAGATTTTATTAAAATCTAGTTAAATCAAAATTGAAGTTTATTACCATATTAGGTCACAAATCTGCAGGCCCCGTGTATGCCCTTGACAGAGATGTTCATGGTCAGACCATACAAAAATCTTTATCCGGTGAAGCAATTAAAAGCTTAAGAAAATAATATCAAAACCTGACGCACCTGATTAGCATATTATACTATATTAGAATATAATCCAAAATCAATCAACGGGTTCCTTGTATCATATCAATATGCTTCACTTGACGTGCTCCACTGCATTTAAGATGTGATAATGGACAATTCTTAATCAGAGCAGAAGTAGCTAACAGATAATGGAAGCATACAAGGACCATTAGGCATTTAAGCTATGAAAAGTATATCCAGATTCTTTCATCAGGTTCTAGCTACGGCACAGCAAATGAAGGCTCTGTGAAATACCAATTGGCCAGGGTTCCCGGCAATCCAATTATTTAGCCTTGCATACCATCCCCTCAAGCAATTCCTGAAGCTTAAGTCTAAGACCCCATAAGCTGCAACATACCACTGATCACAGTTGAGTGGAATTCTTTGATTGGAAATGGCATGAATTCTATTCCTATGAGGTGGAGTTGTGTGAGGTAACTGAACTTTTTGTACTAGGTTTGGCAAATGATACCTCATCCATGGCGGAGGAATGAAGAATAACCATTGAACTAGGAATGGGAGAAACGTCGAAGCTCTTGTTCATCAATTAACTTGGCTTCTCTATTTGCTGGCTCTTCTTCTGCATTTGTGTATGCATCTGAAGATGATGGGAGAGATGAAGTATCCTTCTTTGATGCAGATATTAGACCTTTGGCAACTAATGAGCTCAAAAGGTTAGAAACTGGAATTGAAGCCTTGCTTTCTGCGTCTCAAGTTTGTAATGGAGCATCACTAACGAGAGAAGGCAGTTGACCAGGAGCCAATGGCAGCTGTTCAACTTTCCTATGACAACTAAAGCACATAACATACATATTCTAAGCATTTCCAGTCAATCTGATTTATAGATAAATTCTAAAGCATATAAGGTACTGAAAACCTAAAGCATAAATATACATGTTCTAAGTGTTTCCAGTGTTTCCAGTCAATCCAATTTATAGATAATTAATCCTAAATTCAACATTTCCAAGTTGGAAATTGTCTCAGGAACACTACTTGTACCCCCTTGATCAGTAATTTTCCCAGTGGTTCTCATGAACAGGTTCACTAAACATGCCTCTATAAGAGCATGGAATGCTATAAGAATATTGAAAAATAAGCAGAATGGGAAAAAGTAATAAACATATTATAGCAAGTTTAAAACATTTCACATACATTCATTTTAACAAGAATCTACAGATGGCCGTCAAGCTATAAAGGCTGCTCTATCTAGCCCCTCAGAGTCCTCCTTTGAGTCAGCCAAAGTTCCAATTATATCATTAACAATACCTTTCACCTTCATCATGTAAAACCAAATCAATGGTAAATCCTTTAAAAAATAGGCATTAAAATCACTACACGAGAAAAATTAATGTTGATGATTATAATAAGAAAAACGTAAGCAGTGGAGGTATCCATTCAGATGATTCCATGGAGTATAAGGAATGGCATCAAGGGATTCTCAAAATTTTGGATTTGAATCTTTAAAGATGGAAGGTGAAGGAAATATTTGGTTGATACAAAGCATTTAGTTTAGTTAATATCTTTATAAACATGGGAAGATCTCCATCCACCATAAATGTTTCAGAAATATACTGAATAATAAAATCTGATTGGTAACACGTCAAAAAATAAGATTGTCAACCCTGCTTGACTGTTGAAAACGTTGCTTCTCTAGATGAACAGAGAAGTAATATACAAAGTTTTCAACATTTGGAAAAAGCTTGAGACTCTGAGCACATAAGAAGATGAATGTACTTGTTAAAGGATAATATCATCGTTCATTTATAACATAGCCTTCTGCAATTTTTTGTTCGGACAATAAAGTCATATTATCGTAAATTTTCTTAGAAGCCACAGTGAGCAATAACAAAGCCAAAAAATAGGATGAAGCCTAACCTCGTGTCATCTGGAAGCAAAATATTTAATGTAATCTCTCCCAGTATTCTTAACAATACTGCAAAGCCAGTTTCTTTATCAGCTCTCAAACCAATAAAGCAAGACTAATTCTTCTTCATAAGCTAATCGCATCCACAATACCAGAAATGATGTAATGAAAAGAAAACCCGGAGCGGAAGGAATAAGGATTTCAAAACAGAAAAAATAAACTGATCCAAAGCTTTCATTTTACTAAAAAAAAAAAAAAACTTAAAATAGAAAGTTACACTAATGTCGATTTTCCATCCATATGCCAATTTTTGTAATGATTGCAGCTATCACAGATAGCCAGCCTTTTTACCTTCACCAACTTGAGTGTTTAATTTATTTCCCTAAAATATAATTTATCATGTTTTTCATGACCATCTTTTGTCTACAACCTTAATAAATTAGCTCCATCACAGATTAGACACCATTACGCATCCAAGTATTCACACATGAAGCTTCATTATAAACTTTTAGTCAACCTCCCGGAAAGGTAATGGAAAGGCAAAGAGAAAAAGAAGTATCAGGGAACTCTTCTAGTCATCTTACGCATTTATCATGGCCTTCACATTTCTAGATGTATTTACTCATATCAGCATCCAAAATAAATTTGAGTAGTTCAATACAATAAGCTCTGGCAAAAGATTATATCATGTAAGTTTTGAAAGCGCAATACTCACGAAACCGAAGAAAAGGGTATAATAACTTTATCATAGTCCAACTCAATGCGAGTTGTTTTCCATAAAATTAATAATTTCGTGAAATATTGTAATGTCCTAAATTTGGATCAATGATTGAGTTGAGTTGACTTGACTGGGTCATGGATCAACAAGGTAAGCTATTAAGAAGCCTTGAGCCAAATTTTAATTTGATTGGGCTAAATTTGAGCCTCAAATAGTTATAAAAAGTGTATTTTTTAATAGAGATTAAATAAGGAAGGACTAAGAAAATAATTTACCCCTAAAGTATTCTAAAGGCTAATCCCATCTATTGACTTATGTCACACATTGGGGAGGTCATTTTCCTTGTCTTCTTCTTCTTTTAATTTTTCTCTCCTTCCTTGCCTCATTCCTTCTTGTAAGAGACAAATGAACAAGCATTTATCACCTTCCATTTATAGTCTGAGATTTTGACGGTAAGAGTAGTAATGTCCTCACATAGAGCTTCCATTCATGTTCTCTTTCTCAAGGTTTAGCCATAGTGACCATGGTGAGGGGTTTTGGCTTTTATAACTTAAGGTTTTGAATTAAAATTCATAATTATGAGCACATATTTTATAATGTATATTGTTATCATAAAATATGATATAAATTAAGTGATCAATTATGTTATAAAGTCATAAGGTATTAAAAGTGTCATGGAAATAAAAGTGTAAATACTATTAAAGTTGTATTTATAATTCGATGAAGGGTAGAGTTATAAGTACAGACAATAATTGATTCTTAAATCAATCATATAAAGGGGTTATGATACCCAAGAAATAGATGCTCTCGTATTTACTCTTATTCCCGTCATAGAGTTTATACTTAAAGAACTCTATCTTCTTGGAAGATCACAACAAAAGAAAGATTCAAGATTTCAACCTATCAATTAATTCAGGTACGCTTCCGCTAATCTAGTATTTATTTTATTCTTGATGATTTAACATGATTAGATCCTAGTTAATTTTCATATTTTATTTATGATTTGGTTCTAACAAGTGGTATCATCGCCTCATCATGTTGAGTCATTGATAATCAATTGATTTAGAATTTATGATTTATGAGATTAAATTTTTCATAAAATCAATTAGGGTTTTTTTGGGTGATCGATATTCTCAATTTCATAATCTGTTTCAATCGTGCGTTAAATTTGAGGTTAATTTTGCATGTATGTGCGATAGTTTCCATATATTTGGGTTGTTTGTCAATTTCAACGTTAATTTTGCATGTATGTGCGAAATGCTTCTACAATTGAGTTATGGGATTTTTATGTTTTTTCCCTAATAATCGTGCCCTGCATTGTCAGAGAATTTATTAGCTTTTTCAAACTTTAGAATATGGGAATAAGCATGGCCTTTAAATCTATTGTGATTTTGCGTTAACCATTAATTCAGAAACTGTGAAATTAAGTTCTTCCAATGGATTCAGATGCTTCTTCTTCGTTTTTAATCTTTCAAAAAGTTTTAATTCACTAGTATGTACTTTGACCTTGACTTTTGGTTAAATTTTGATTTGAATTCGGTTTATTTTTCGGCGTTTTTATGAAGTTATGTATTAATTATATGTTTAAGAAATTTTTTAGAAACAATCAAAGACTCGAGTTTCAGATTTTTTATAGCACCATTTGTGAAACCTTATTTTGGGTTATTTCGGTTATTGTAGTGCAATAAAAATTTTTAGTTTTAACCTCTGATTTTAATAGAAATATTAAATTTGAATACTAATATTTGTTTTGAGACGGCTTAATTAAAGTAATAAGTCGATAAAGTGGCCTCAATTATGGAATATATTTTTATACATGTTATGTACAAGTAACTTAGGATATGTTGTTATTGATAGGCTCAAATGAAGATTAATAATTGATACAATCACATGTACAACTTTGGTAACAAGAATGTGATAATTATTCGGTTTGATGTGTGAGTAATAAATCTACACAAAGGAATATTTTTGTTTGATATGTTCTTGTTATCAATGTTTAGTTACCACATCAGATATCACTTAAGATGAATATTTTGTCTAAACATGAAATATTAATATAGTATTTGATATATTGAGATAAGATTTAAGTGTATTCAAATTTATTATTATACTGGTTATCTTTTGATTTAATTAAAAGATACATTAAGAGAAATTGATTGTTTGACAATATTTCTATGTTTATATTGTTAATGCAATATTTGTATGTATATTCAATTCAGGTTTTCAATTTTTATTTTTTGGTTATTAGGATATATATATATATATATATATTGAAGCAAATTAATTCGTATTTTGGCTAGGTCTGATATTTTGATAGATTAGTTGAAACATAATGTCACCAAGGTGACCTCTTTTGTGTAGACTAATTTATTTATAATATCAAGATGATTATGTGTTTCTTGTTATTCATGCATCTATTAATGGACCCAAAGGAAAGTTAATATTTGGCCGAATTTCAAGTGACACATGTGGTAATAACATGTGACAAGTATAAGGTATTTTATGTGAGCATTACATTAGTCCAAAGATTAGTCTTTTGTTTGAAATAACTTATTGTCAATGTTTGATTACTACATCAAGATTACCATTTACTGTTAATATTACTGTCCAAAGACATGATATTGATGTAGTGCTTGATATCTTGAGATGAAATTAGCCATAATGTTGAATTTATTTGTTTACTTAAGATGTGAGCTTCAATTTTAATTATATTTTGTTCAACTAATTATTTATTTATTGCTACTGTAATATATGATATTATACATTTTCTATTCATGCTTAAGAAAAAGAATCTCAAGGAATTAGAAAATGCACTTACATAGGTTTTTGATTGTATGAACATAGACTTTACACTAAGGAAAGAATAATTTTCACCTCTCTTGGGGATAACATCCTTAATTGAATTTTGAGAGGTGAAATTTGTTCAAATTGCATAAGTTTAATGGTCATGAAACACAATATTTTAGAAGCCTTTAGGGGCACGTAATTTGAAAAGATTACTTATGCCAATGGTTTCCTTGAAGAAATTGAGAAATATTTTCCTAAAAACAAAATTTTTATGTATGACTTTCATTAATTGTATAACAAAATTTATCAAGTGATTATCTCGTTTGGTTTTGAGATGAATTTGGTTAACAATTGTATATACTATACGTTCAGTGGGAGTAAACCAAATGATACCCTTATAGCTAAAGAAAACAAGTTTAGTCTTGATCAGTGCCCTAAGGATGATTTTGAAACTAAGAAAATGTAAAAATATTCCTTGTGCTTCAAAATAAATAAAGAATTTAATGTACACTCAAGTTTATATGCATTCAGACAAAACGTATGATTTTTAGGATATTAAGAAAATATTTAATCAATTTGGGTATGGATCGTTGGATAGTAGCCAAATTGATTCTTACAATACATTTAAGTACAAAATGTTACATGCTCACATATCAGAGGTCTAGTTAATAAGAGATCATCAGGTTTATTAACTCTGACTTATTGGAATATGGATGCAAAATTTTGTCACATGAACTGCTAATTATGGATTGATAAGAAAGATCACTTGAGTTATTCTATGACAACTAAGTTGCAGTCATTTATTCCATATATATAACATAAACATCTTAAGTCTAAGCACATAGACATTATGTTTCTGGTTGTTAAAGAAATTTTAGAGTGATGTTTTGTTTATAGAGCATATTGGTACAAACTCATAATTGCGCGCTTACTAAGGAACTATCACCCAAGGTCTTTCATGAGCACACTACTCATGTGGGTGTAATATCATTTAAGGATATTGAGTTTTAGTGGGAGTTTGTATTTAATACTCTTTTATTATAAACATAATTTCAGTTACCTCGGTTTAAGGATATTTATTTTAAGATTATTTTATGCAAAAATAAAGTTTGTTTTGGTTTATGCACACTCTGGTTTTGGTAAAATTTGATCTCACTAATGTTTAAAGATGACCAGTTAGAAATAGACAAGTGTGGTTTACATTGCATGTAATTTTCATGGTACACTATATGATTGATCTATGTCATTTGACTATGTTTGTATACGTGACCATTGATGGGTCAATTCATGATAGATATGACAAAGGCCGTTTTGATCCTATATGGATATAGTTGGTGGACGAGATTGTTATAGAATACCTATTGCATGATAACAAGTTTTGAGCTCATAAGGTTATACATTTATCATGAAACATATGTTGCCCAAGTGAGAGATTGTTGGATTAAAATCCATAATTATGGGAACATATTTGTAATTTATATTGTTATCATAAAATATGACATAAATTAAGTGACCTATTATGTTATAAAGTCATAAGGTATTAAAAGTGTCATGGAAATAAAAGTGTAGATATTATTAAAGTTGCATTTATAACTTGATGAGGGGCATAGTTATAAGTACATATAATAACTGATTATTAAACTTGTTATATAAAGAGGTTATGGTCCCTAAGAAATAGACACTCTTGTATTTACTCTTATCCCCGTCAGAGAGTTTATACTTAAGTGAACTCTATCTTCTTGGAAGATTGCAACCAAAGAAATATTCAATGATTTCAACCTATCAATTAATTCATGTACGCTTCCGCAAATCTAATATTTTGTTCTTGATGATTTGACTTGATTATATCTTTGTTATTTTTCATAATTAATATGATTTTAATCCTAACAGTTGGAGCAATAAAACTTGATGCAATTACTCCTTTAATTGCACAAGTTTCTTCCTTGGCCAATATTATCAAGATGATGCAAAAGCCTAGTGACAATCAAGAGTTGAAATCAACAACTTTTACATAATTTATCTTTATCAAATAATTTATAATTGACAATTTAAATAATTTTTGTTAAAGTTTATAGAAAAATTATTTCTTTTTCTTTAATAAATATTTGAATAAATTCTAACAGAAAATTATTTAAATTATCAATTAAATATTATTTCATGATAATATGTGAAAAATATATTAAATATAAGTATCGATTTCAATTTTTTGTTAGAATCATTTAACGCAAATTAGTATAAACGACTTATTTTATTATTAATAAAAATTGAATAATGTAATTTGATTAAATTAAAAGTTCGTGATCTAAAAGAAAGTTAGAATTAAGTTTAATGATCTATAATGTAAATTGCCTCATTAATTCAACTAAACACAGTGGTTTGCAAAACCGAGTGAACTCGGTCATTTTAAGGCGAAATTCCCATATTAAGAAGCTTTCATATTGTTTGGGTGAGTTATACTTCGTCCCTGTCGTTGCAGATTGCAAAACCCAACACCTTGGCACCGTGAATTCCGCTCGTTTTCTCTTAAACCGTTGATTGCTTGTTGAGGGATAATAACATTTATGGCCGGGTGAATGTTTGGAGGGTTGAAGATTATGTGGTTCATATGGCATGTTTATCGTAGGAATTTTCTTTATCAATTAGAATTTGACAGATTTTGTTGAAGCTGATTCCTCAAATTGCTCAAAATTTGAGCATGGAACTAAGTAATTACAACATTGTTAAACAGTATAGGAAGCCCTACTCGGCTTTGTGGTTATGAGTAATACAAGGATTTTCATATTTCCCTACAAACCAAGTCAGTAATGTAAAATACAATTCCACTCTCTCTTGTTATTTCGTTAATGTCGACTTGTTTGGACCCTTATGAATGTTCTACTATTTACTCATCTTCGGCTGCCCCCTTACCTTTTCCCCTGCTCAACTTGCTGGCTGGGAAATGCAGTCTGGCCATTAGAGGACGGAGTGCTCGTGATTTCTGGTCGAATCCCCTCAAACATATCCTGCAATTTTTGATCAAATAATAGTGTGAAATCAGGGTAAATTCTTGAAATGATAGTACATTCACAGATTATTCAGGTATTGGAATGACTAGGTTCAATTGCCAAATAATGAAGAGCTTTGACAAAATTCTCTATTCCCATGTTTGGTGGTCAGAGATTCAGAATAAAATGTGCAGAAAAGGGCAAGTTTTCTGTTGTTGAAGGCTGAGATTGTACAAGTAATGCTTGCAGTTTGGGTTAGCAAAGACACTTTGAATTTTTGCTGAGAGCATGTAAATGCTATAGTTTTTGTTGATAAATCGGGCAAAGTAAACGAAAGAACACAAGAATTTTAACGAGGTTCGGCAATGTGCTTACGTCCTCGGTGCCTAGACAGCACTAGAAAATTTTAATTCAATGATAATAGGTTTAGGTTACATCTCTATTTATAATAGAAAACCCTGGTACATAATTACAAAATTAACCATGTACCGTACCGCGGGGCACAGCCCCGCACCCCCAACCCACATAATCGTAACCCCCTCTACAAGACTTTCTTTGTAAGGACAGTAGATGTTCGCTTCGCTCACTCCGCTCCATCTCCTGTCCTCTTTACCGGTATATTTATGAGCCATACCTTACAGTTTTTCATTTCCATGGGTTGCATTTGGATGGACAGGGAGGGATTGGAACCTTCGGTCTAGTGACGAAAGCAGCTATGGAACAGTCGAGTTGTTGTCGCCAAGCATTCAAATGAGTTGGTAGATTGTAGGGATATCAAATATGTAAAAATCTCTTTTCTTATTTGAGGATGTAAAGGGCTTAATTTCTTCCTTGATATCCCAGGTGCTGAAGGACTGTTAACCGTAATTTGTTTCTCTGATTTCAATGTTTTAATGTTCATGTGACCTAAAGATTAAAAGCAAGAACATGGGTACTTATAGGTAACTTTTTGAATCAAGGGAAAACAACATGACATAAAGTTAAAATGGTTTGCAAGTCTCACCTCTCCAGAAGCAGTGTTGAATTTCTACTGTTGTTAAGCCTAATAGGTCAAAGAGTTCAGTGTTTGATCTTGCTCTATTATCAGTAACGCTTGTTAAAAACTTATAACCTTTAAATATTGAAGGTATGGAGGTCCCAGATAGACCATTCTCCTTGGCAGGTTCCATAGTCATTCCCTTGGAACATCAATTGGGTTCAGACTTGAATCATGGTCAGCAGAAACCTGCATCACAATGGTATTATTATTTGCATGCCTGATAAATATCAAAATGACATTAAAATGTGAAGGAACTGGTTGAACATACATGCTCAGCTTACTTCATTAACTTGGAAGTATGTGCCATTCAGGGGAAAGCTCCCTCTCATTGCTGTACGACATGGTATCTGTTATGATGTTTTATGATATTGGTTAGCTAATAATATCTGAATTCCTAATCATGCATGCAATTGTATGTTTCTTCATAGCATGAATCAAATTTTTTCTTAGTAAAAGTGTTCCCCTGACTATCTGGGATTCTATTTCCCGGATATTGTTGCAAGAGAAACATGTCTTCTCATCACACAATATTTAAGTCACAATCCTACGTGTTATGATATTTTCGTTGATGTTTGACTCTGGCCAAAATATTTTGCATATCTTACGTTTTAGTCACCGTTTTGTACATGGATGCCTTTAGGTAAAAATTGTTTATCCTCCCAAATTTCCGATTTATTTTATTTTAGGGATATCATTTAAGGTCTAATTTCATTTCTAGCACTTGTATTATGTGTTATTTTCAGTTGTTGCCTTTATTGTTGTTGGTGTTGTAGTTTGGCCTTTCAGTATTAATATCATTTAGCCTTCTTAATCATTATGCATGCTTAGTTCCCTTTGTTTGTATTTCGGTCCTCAACGATTCCATGTTTGTACTTTAGTCCTTGACGTACATTTACATTTGTACAGGCACAATATTATATGTATATTATAGTTTGAATATTTTCTGTAAGATAAGTGTCTTTATATATTATTTTTACTTACATGTGTTTCACTATGTTATAGTTACTGAATATTTTTATATTTTTATGTCCCAAATATGTTCGTAAATACTATATCATGTATATATTTATTCAACATATTTTGATCTTCATATATTTATGTATGGGTTTTTATAACTGATCTTTTTGAACAATCACAAAATGCTCATTTTACTTACTAATATGTTTAATGTCACTCGCTCGAATATTTTCAAGAACACTCTATCGTAGAATGGGCGCGAAAAACACAGCTTGAACGAAGTAGTGCGATTCGACACGATATTCGAACGAAAAATGAAATTGAAATAAGTTGAGTTTATCTTTATAAAAAATGATAATTAATTCTTTTTTATTCAAATGATGCAATACATGTTTTTTTAAATAGTAATTTATTTTATGCAATTATCGATAGTTGATTTATATTCGATTTGTGCTTTTTGATAACGTTGGGGAGGGGGACATTTCTTGTATAAAGGATAATAAATGGGATAGCCTTCCCATTAGAGGATGTGCAAATCCCGTGATTTCTTCTCAAATTAAGGAATGTTCTTTAATAATTAATTCAAAACAAATTATCCAATGCTCAATAAAACGATCACACTTTTTCGAATTTACGATGTCCACCATTTACGACAATGTATAAGTAATTGGGTATTAGATTTGGGCGTTGTGGGGGTGTTAATCATTCCCCACGCGTAATTGACACTCAGATCCTAAAAAATGAATACTTGATAACGCAGACCAATTTTTGTCTTAAAAATGATTTTTCTTAAAATTGTTTTAAAAGATGTTTTGGGTATTTGACCAACCTAACCCAAAAGTCGATGACAACTCCAATTCAAAATAATTCAAAATCCCTATTTTCTTTGAATAAGTCATAATTGTTTTTTAAAACTTAAATTTTTAAAAAAATGGTTATGACAGCTTAACGACTCCACTGGGGACACTTTAGAGAGTCAGTTTGTAAGTCACTTATACATTTTCCTTGTAGTAGAAATTATAAGTTCGAGTCTATAGTTAGCTTATGATCCATTTATTGAAACTTTTCTAAATTCTTTATTTTTATCTTACTAACGTTTTAATTTATGTATTGAGGTTTGTCAAGATTTTTTTCTTCTTTTCTGGTTCAAAGGTTTGTATGTTCCTCCTCATACACATCATGTGCATTTGCATTACATAAGCTCTATACCCGAGCTTCGTCCCAAGTAAGTAGGGGTGAACGCTTTACTCTCGTAAGAATTTATTCTTCGTATGAGTCTTAGAAAATAACCTCTGGGGTACACATACCTTATATCTTTGTAGGGATTTATTCCTCGTATGGGTATAAGGAAGTGAACCCCCTCAAATTGAACTCGATCTATTTATGTCTGTAACAAGTTATGATTGAGGGTTTGGTAGCCCAAAGGGGTACCAGCAACAAGGACAATCCGAGTACATTTTTCAGTTAGAGTCGAAACCATGCATGTAGTGTACCGTAGCATGTAGTGTACCGTAGAACGACCACCCTAGGTAGAGCCATACATAACCTATGTTCGTTATTCGGTACCAAAATAAGCATACACGAAGGAGGAACGACTCTAAACCTTTACATTTTTTCTTTAAATTCATAGAATAGATTTCTTTTCGAATGAAAGTTGTGAACTAGATACCATGCAGATATGATTATTTTCTTGAAATAAATCATTTTGGGTAGAAAACTTGTCCATTTAGGATTGTTATTTAATGAACGCATTCTCGGGTAGATACCATGATTGGGTAGGTGTTATATTTAAATAACATATTTTAATTCTATCGATTAACTTACTTTACTAACTCGTTATTTTTTTTTGTGTCATTTTCACATTTTTTGCATTGCATTTCAACAACATGACATAATGCGAAAGTGTCGATCCGCAAGAGGATATTTAAGTGACAATTTTACAAGAGAGTCAAACAGTAGTGTACACAGACATGCACCTAGGGTTAAAAGAATTTCAAAGAGTACAAGAAGGAAACTTGCTCAAAGATCATGCAACATTCGAGACTGAAAAGATGATCCATTGACCTGAAAAGTAATCCAGCGGTAGAGTCTTATCTACGATTGTTCCATTACTAATCACACAGGGGTGACCCATGACTTCAGTACCGTAGGGACATTAACTGAAATAAGTTATATAGCGCTTGAGGGCATAATTTTCAAGGATGAATCTTCGAGACGAAACATCGACCCATTTTAGACTCAGCGTCCAAGCGAAAGCATGTCTGTAAAATGGACTATCTTGTAATGTGAATAGTTTTATCTCTGATGAAAATTATTCTATGATATTCATCGTTGGGATCAATATTTTTTTGCATATGTATTTGAATATTTATATTCTATTATGCATTTATTTGAACATTTTCACATGCATCATTCATGAAAACATGAGGATTAATTCATGGAGAATTTGATGGAAGTGGTCCTAATCACTAATATAATGGAAGCAAATTTTGAAAAATTGAAAGAAGAATTGCAAGAGAATTTACAGAGAATGCAACGAGATTGGGAAGCTAAAATAGAGAAATCGCAAAAGGCTACCATAGACCCCATCTAGCAAACCCAAGCCAGCATGGTTGATCAGATTGTTGAGAAATTGGTTGGGTTCATTTAGGTAAAAGGCAAAAACATGCCTTTTCATCAATGGAAACCTTTGAGTGTGTGATGGCATATGCTAATCCACGACTACTCATTTCACCCGAGAGGCTTCCAATATATCAAGTAGGCTTCTCCAACACTAAGACTCAAGCAATTGTGTTAGATCCTCAGGATAACTCTACCGATCACAACATGTTCAATCCTAGTGAGATAGAAGAAGCCAAAAATGAGATCCCTGAGAACTTAAAAAAATTGTGCATAAAGACATTCAAAAGAATGAGAGGATAAAGCTCTCATAATGAAATGGATGCAAGTGAACTAATCTTTGTTACTGACTTAGTTCTCCCGCCCAAATTCAAAATGCCTGATTTTGAAAAGTATAATGGAACTAGTTGTCCTACTACCCATCTCACAATGTTTATTCGAAGGATGACTGGATACACCAAAAATGATCAAATATTGATGCCACATGCAGCTATCACATCGAAAGCTGAGGACATTCCACTGAGAATTATGGGGCATTGAAGCTAAAGGTCCAAAATCTGATTGATTCGGGGGGCATGGACATTCGAAGAATGATAGGACATTCTAATGCTAATTAAGAAAAGATCTTTGCATCTACCAGGAAGCTTTTTTCAATTTCATTAAGAGCATTTTTTTGTTTGAACTCGTTTTTGTTCTATTTTTAATATTTACTTAAATATTTTTAAATCTTTTAATGATTGAATTTATGCTACCTTTAAAGGTTGAATAATTGAATCAATTTTAATCTTGTAGTTCTTTGAATATCAAATGAATTACAGATTCTTTTAGTTCTTCAAGAATTATAGATTTTTGACATATGGCAAGGTTATACCTTTTTTACACCATCTAAAATCAAAAATAAAATCTCTCGATTCCTTACCCGGAATGATTCGAGATGCTACATTTTGTTTCCTATGCAGAAACATTCCTTGCATTTTGTTGAGCCAATAAAATCACACCATTGTCTTCTTAGACGCAAACCCAACATTTTTCTACCAATAAAACCTAAAAGCAATGAGTACAAGATGTTTACTTGCACGAGAATGGTTCTGTATAGGAAACAAGATGTAACATCTCGAATCAACTTCCTATAGATAAGCCTGAACAGTTGGGATATGCTAGAAGCAAGAAGAAGAAAAAATAAAATTAAATCGAAATAATTCTATCATGCATTAATTACATTGTTTTCATGTGAATAAAAATTAATCCCGAAAATCTATCCCCCCGAGGATACCTCTTCTGTAAAGACTTATGTGTATGAAATAATGAACGACTTTATTTTATTTATCCCTTCACAAAATGAGAAAATATATATCCATTGTTGTCCCCATTTAAGCCTAAAATATTTTTCTTCTAATTCAACCCTAACCAAGGATCACCCTCCACACTAGGGGGCAAAGGTGAAGGAAATCTACTCGTATGAGTGAAGACCGTCAATTTATATCGTTGTGAAATAAAGTGTGAAATAATAAGGAACCACAAAGTAGATCAAATCCAAAGTGTGGAAATCAAATCCAGTCAAGAATAATGAAAGAAGTTCCAAATACATGAA